CCCTCCCTCCCTCCATCTCTTTCTCTCTCTCTCATGCTCCCTCCCTTATCTATTTATCCCAGCACTGTTTTAAGTCCTTTCCGTATATTAACATCGGGAATCTTTACAGGCTCCTTAGGAGGTAGGTGTGTTGGTTCTATCTCCATTTTACAGATAGGAAAACTGAGGCACAGAGAAGCCATTGCCCAAGATGACGTTTGCAGAGGAGGGATTTGCAGATTCTGTGCTTTTAACTCCTGCCTTGCACAGTGTTGCCGAAAAACCACCAGGCAGCATTCTCCCCCCGCCCCATATTGCCTCACTAAGTCGTGTGTGTGTGCGTGTGCGTGTGCATGTGTGTGCGCATGCATGTGTGTGTGCGTGCGTGTGCGTGTGTGTGCGCGTGCGCGTGCATGTGTGTGTGCGCGTGCAGTGTGCGCGCAGCCATTATCACTATTAATAAACTGTATTTTTCAACCTTGGATAGAATGATATATACATATTTATGTGCATGTATGTGTGTGTGCGTGCGTGCGTGTGCGTGTGCGTGTGCGTGCATGTGCGTGTGTGTGCGTGCGTGTGCGTGCGTGTGCGCGTGCGTGTGCATGTGTGCGCATACTCGTGCACACACGCGCCCAGGGGTCAGCCCTCGGCTCCAGCGGTGCTGAGACGTTTTGCTCATTACTGTGTCCTCGGCACCCAGCACAGCGCTCAGGAAGTGTTTGCTGACTCGATGAAGAGAGAAACTGGGATTTTTCTGAGCACCGGGCAGTGATTTTGTGGCCTTCATTAGAATCTAATTTTCTTTTTTCATTTGGGTGAAAAATGACTTTAGCATTTACATGGCGTGACTTCATTATTAAGTTTTAAAATCTGATGGCCCCCGCCATCAAATTCCCTTTTTGGTGTTTTGTTACTCCGGCTACATTTAGTAATGTCTGTCTTCGTAGATTTTTTCTTCTTTCTTTCTAATCTGTAATGCATTTTAACGAGGAGGATTCCATGTATGCAAAGGAGTTGTATTTTTATTTTAGTTTATCTCCTGTGCTCCATAATAGAGGTTATGAATATGCCCTTTAGATAACAAAGAATTTTCTTACTATCTTTTCGATTGAATAGGCAAAGAAAACACCATAATGGTGTGAAATGGTCTGATTTAGAAACCAATTATAAGGAACATAATTACCTACTAGTGAAAACAAAAGTGAAAGCCAAGCATTTCTAGATTATGTCTAAAAAATATCATGACAGCCAACATCTCAAAAATAACATCTGTTTTTCTCCTGCAACGGTGTCACCATCTCTGTGTGTGTGTGTGTGTGTGTGTGTGTGTGTGTGTGTGCGCGCGCGCGCGTGCGCGCACACACACACTGGAACCCACGTGCTGGAATGATAGTGCCGACTCCGAAGGGATGTTTTCTGACCTGAAATTAAGGTGCACACGCCCCCTGTCTGTTACTGATGGTCACCAAAAATCAATCTATAGGTCTCTCTAGAACTCTAAGGTTCTTTTTTTATCCTAAGGATGCAAAAGGACAAAAAGCACCCCGCTGGGTCCCTTAGGAAATGCATCATTAAGATATATGCTACTGCCCACCTCAATTTTCATAAGCTGTGCACAATTGGGAGGGAGCCGAACACACCGATGCTCTTTCTCGGGGTGCATCAGGAGGGCGGGGGCTGGGAGGAGACAGTAGGCGGTGCTTCTGAGCTCCCCTGCTATAGTTGAGGCTTCAAGGGGAGGCGGGGTCCAGCTGCATAGCCCCAGCTG